GGATTTAGGAAAATAGCTCGAAATAAGATCAGTGGAAAACGAACCTGTTAGATAAATGCAAGTTTTGTTCAGTCGGATAATATCCACATGTCTACCCTACTTTTATAATTTTCGAATCATAAATCTAATCGATAGAAGATAGATAGCGTCACTGCATCACTCTCACCGCCGTTAGAAAGTAGCAAGCAACTGAAGCAAGTGCAATTATGGAGGGTGGAGATTTGGAGTATTTCATCAAAAATAATTGTACTAAACTTCCGCTACAGCAGCAACAACAAATACAATCTGATGACAGGCCAATGCCCAAACTGGAGCTGTGTACAGCGAGGAACAAAGGAGCGAGTCGGACGTAAAACGTTAAAGGTCTCCTGATTTAGTTTGTGAATGAATGCTTATTAGAGTTTCGGCTGGAGAGTGCGTGCGGACCTGTCGGTTAGATACCAGGCGTGTGTAAGTCCTGCATCTGATACAAATGTGTGTAAAATGATACCGGGTGCTGTAATCACTCATCTGGTTACGTTATTACATTGACCACCACACCCCCGACCCAAAAGAAAGGACGTATTATTGGCTTCCCCTATTTTTTTCCCCACGCCACGCTACTGGGTATGACAACGTTATTCACACAATAACAGTGTTAAATTGTTTAGTAGTTAACATGAATGTTCAATTACTAGTTTTAAGAGAAGTTAACTAACTACGTTATGCAGGCTACCTTGCTTGAGTATACAAAAACACAGCTATGCTAACAACACTGGTGGTAGCTTCTGAGCTTTCTGCAGTTAAAATGTATTTCACCCCCTTCTATCCCCTTCTCATTTCGTTTGTGAACTGTCTTGCCCTAGGCTTAAAAAACGAGGACATAGCCCACCCAGACTACACACCCTCGCTGTTCCCACATAAAAAGACAAAGTCTCCCAGGTCAGTACTTCAGAGGCTGGAGAGAAGGAGGAAGCGTGAGGGTGTTCAGTCTGCCCAACCAGAATCCCCAACATCAGAGGGCCCAGCACCAGAAGCCCCGGCACCAGAATCCCAAACATCAGAAGCTCCCATACCTCTTCAGGAGTTAGAGAGAAAACAACTTTATGAAGAATTGTATAATTTAAGAAGAGAAAGAGATGAGGCCATGAAGGAGCGAGCTGAAGCCATCAAAGAATTGGAGACGTTGAAAATGTCGGTAAACACTGTGAGAGAAAATGACACTAAATGTAAATTCATGACAGGCCTGTCATGGACAGTATTTGACACTCTTCATCAGTACCTGGCAGAGGTGTGGACTCGAGTCACATGACTTGGACTCGAGTCAGACTCGAGTCACACATTTTATGACTTGAGACTCGACTTGACAACATCACAAAAGACTTGCGACTCGACTTGGACTTGAACACCAATGACTCGGGACTTGACTTGGACTTGAGCCTTCTGACTTGAGGTGACTTGATACTTTAATTCAGAGGTCTCCAACACGCCGATCGCGAGCTGCCGCTAGAAGAGCAGACTCCCGTCGGGGAAAGCAGAATCTTCAGCAGCTCCTACTCTTGCTGAGAATCCTTGCAGGCAGGGGCGGGTCTTTATTTAGCTGGGCCACCATGCGGCCAATCATATGCGAGGACACACTAGGATCATACCATTATGTGAAAGTGGTACAGGCCAGCTGCACAGAGCGACGGGGAGACAGGGAGTCGGATTTAAATGCAAGCGCGTCGGAAAAAGTCAAGAAATGAGCGAAAACCGAAAAAAGAAGCAGCATCTGGCTGCTTTTCAATGATATTGGAGAAAGCAAAGCTGAGTGCAGGATTTGTAAAATGAAAATAACCTTCAGAGCAGGGTTTTTTTTGGTAACCACTCAGGATTTATTGTCAGAGGTGGGAGAAGTTCAGACAATTAAAAAAAGTTACAATCAGGGTTCCCGCGGGGTCTTAACAAGTCTTAAAAAGTCTTAAATTTGATAATCAGAATGTAAGGCCTTAAAAAGGTCTTAAATATGATTCAGAAGGTCTTAAAAATTATCGGATTTGAAAGGTACTTCTATGTTGCGATAGCGTCTAAATGTGTTTTGGGGGAAATGTCCGGGCTGCAAAGTAACCAGTACGGTAATAGCCTTTCAGTTCCCCCCAACAATTTGTATTGAATTCAATCAACATGGAACCAGTAATCACTAACTTTGTTTCCCCCGGCCCCTTATTGGAGAACACCCAGCTAGTAACCTAGCAACCAAGCTTCAGCTCATGTAGCCTATCTTCGAATCTACTTACAAATAAATATGGGGAAGTGTAAGTTCAACCGTATTTGGTTGGAAAACATCTAATTTAGTGCTTGGTTGAAACCAGTGGAGGGAACGTGTTTGAAGCCCGCTGCACCTTTTGCAAAAGAAATTAGTGTTTGTTTTGCTAGTGGAGCGTTAGCTAGTGGAGTGTTAGCTAGTGGAGCAGCAGCTAGTGCAGCAGCTCCCGCAATAACACCGGGGGACCTCCGGGCGAAGTTTGGGTCTACGTCAACCCTAAAAGCGGAGGTGCTGTAGACGCTAAATACCGTAGCTAAACACCAATCATACAACAGCAACGATGAAATAGTGTAGCCAAGGCAGCAGAGCTCTGAATATAGCTCTTGTCACTCTCTCTCAGAGACACACACACACACACACACACACACACACACACACACACACACACACACACACACACACACACACACACACACAATAGGGCTGCTCGATTATGGCAATAATCAAGATTATGTTGGTCAATAATTAATATCACGATTATTAAATACGATTATTCATTGACTTTGAAAACATCCATTTATTGAACTTTAAAACAAATAATAATTTGAACAGTATCTTTTTAACTGTTGATTACCCTGAACGTATAATTCAACTGAAAAACCAATACAAAAATTAATTAAATAAATGATACATTACTAAAAAATTCATTAGATCAAATATGTTGTGGTGCACCGTCATACGGAAGAGGATTAGGGCCACATAAAAAAAAAATTTGTGAGGATTTGAAAAAAAAAATTTTTTTTTTTTGTTCTGAGATAAAAGTCAGAATTCTGACTTTAATCTCAGAATTCTGACTTTTTTCTCAGAACAAAAAAAAAACGTTTTTTTTGGGAGAAAAAAAGTCAGAATTCTGACTTTAATCTCAGAATTCTGACTTTTTTCTCAGAACAAAAAAAAAACGTTTTTTTTTGGGAGAAAAAAAGTCAGAATTCTGACTTTTATCTCAGAATTCTGACTTTTATCTCAGAACAAAAAAAAAATATTTTTTTTGGGAGAAAAAAAGTCAGAATTCTGACTTTTATCTCAGAATTCTGACTTTTTTCTCAGAACAAAAAAAAAATGTTTTTTTTGGGACAAAAAAAGTCCGAATTCTGACTTTAATCTCAGAATTCTGACTTTTATCTCAGAACAAAAAAAAAATTTTTTTTTTGGGAGAAAAAAAGTCAGAATTCTGACTTTTATCTCAGAATTCTGACTTTTTTCTCAGAACAAAAAAAAAATGTTTTTTTTGGGAGAAAAAAAGTCAGAATTCTGACTTTAATCTCAGAATTCTGACTTTTATCTCAGAACAAAAAAAAAACATTTTATTTGGGAGAAAAAAGTCAGAAATACCGGTAACTGTAGAACCAGCTTCACTGCGATTTACACATTGCAGATGGTTGTAAAATGACTTATTATGGTTTCCTCTTGGACCCCTCTGGCGCGCAGAAATGCACTCACGTCCTCCATTGTTGCCTACTGCAATGTGTAAATCGCAGTGTAGCTGGTTCTACAGTTACCGGTATTTCTGAGAAAAAAGTCAGAATTCTGAGATTAAAGTCAGAATTCTGATTTTTTTTCTCCCAAAAAAAAAATATTTTTTTGTTCTGAGAAAAAAATCAGAATTCTGACTATTTTCTCAGAACAAAAAAAAAATTTTTTTTTTTCAAATCCTCACAAAACATTTTTTTATGTGGCCCTAATCCTCTTCCGTACCGTCACAACCTAGCAAAGCAAAATAATCGTTTTTTCCGATTATGTTGTTTTCGTAATTGTGGCAGGCCAAAATCGTAATTGCGATTAAAATATGATTAATTGCACAGCCCTAACACACACACACACACACACACACACGCACTCAAGCACACACATACACACTTTTTGTCTAACACGCTAACACAGTTCTGTACTGTTACGCTGTTGTGTTCAGTCATTGTTCTTATGTTGAACATGAATACATTTACTTTGTAAGTGATTATGGGACGTATTTCTTCTTTATATACATTTTCCTTCATACTTTATTGCCGTGAAATAGGTCTTAAATTCTATTCAAAGTGGTCTTAAAAAGGTGTTAAAAAGTCTTAAATTTGAGTTGGCGAAACCTGCAGGAACCCTGTACAATAAAAAGTCCTGCATTCAAAATGTTACAAGTAAAAGTACAAAAGTATTAGCATCAAAATATAGTTAAAGTACCACATGCAGAGGGATCTAGATGCAGGTGTTCTTTATAGAGACCGCCTCGCTGCACATTATCCCTTGCATAAAGATAGATTGTGGGTCCCTTATAACATGTTGTACACAGTGGAAATAAACATTCTGGTTACCTCAACATCAGGGATCTTATACATTAAACTCTTTCTGAATCAAACCGTCACGGTAGCCTTACCTTACTGATCCCTCTTAAATTAGAAAAACACACGTTACTTTACCAGCAGAGAGAAAATGGATTATTACAGTATTAATGTGACTAATAAAGGGCAGTTTGATTATTAAGTATTATTCTGTTGATCGATGTCATTACATTTGGTGAAAAACACATAATGACTTGTTTATGACTCGTTTTGTCAAAGTTTAGGACTTGGACTTGACTTGAACTTGCCCAACCTGACTTGAGACTTGACTTGGACTTGCAAAACAATGACTTGAGACTTGACTCGGACTTGAGCGCAAAGACTTGAGACTTGACTCGGACTTGCAAAACAATGACTTGGTCCCATCTCTGGTACCTGGTACATCCAAGATGTCAACACAAGACCAGCTCTTTATTACTCTGGTGAAACTGCGGCAGAACCCCTCAACCGATATGATGTGTGGAATATTTGACCTGGCACATAGCACTTTCCTGGATGTATTCTCCCGATGGTTGGATTTGATGTACGCCAACATTTCTTTTTTGATTAAATGGCCTGATAGAGAGTGTATCAGAAGCACAGTACCAGCAGAGGTTCTCTTCCAGTACCCTAGAGTGACTGCAATTATCGACTGCTTTGAGTTCAGAATTGAACACTCAAAGAAGCTGAAAACAAGGTGAGATATTTTTCTTTTTGATAGCATGCATAAAGTGTCGGGTTTTTGTAATACTTACCTGGCTGTCTGTGTATATGTACACAATTTATAGATAAGTATTACTAACGACTGTCTCTTCTCACAGAGCTATCACCTACTCAAACTACAAAAACTGGAAACAGTGAAGTATTTCATTGCATGTCACCCATCTGGCTCAATCACATATCCCTCCAAAGGCTGGGGAGGGAGGGCTTCAGATGTGCATATTGTAAGGAACTCAGACTTCTTATCTCAGAAGTTCCACCATGCAGGAGATCAGGTAACAATTGAACTGTTTTTTTTTTTCTAATTTAAGTCTTATTTGTGAATTTATTATTTACCCATAGTTACCATTTTTGAGTTGCTGTTGAAGTAAAGTAGTGTTTTTAAGTATTTGTTATGTTTATTTCAGATTTTAGCCGACAGGGACTTTGAAGGATGACTTTGCTGTTCTGGGTGCACAGCTCATCACACCGTCTTTCACGAGGGGCCGAAAACAACTGTCAGCCGAAGATGTTGCAAATTCTCGTGTGACTTCGAACATCAGAATTCACATTGGTAAGTATAGAGTCAGCAGTCAGATTCATACAGTATGTAAATGTTAATGTTTTTGGTATTCAGAGTGTGCTGCATCATCAAATCACTGTTGCTACTTGCCGCTGACGTGGTTCACATTTCCCTAACTAAATTAATTACTGTAACAGTACAGATCCGGGTTAACAAGTGCTGAGACGTTATTCAATTAATCACATCAACGAGTACATGTGTAATCCCTACTTTGTAGGGTGTCTTATGATAACATTTGATCTTAAAAACATGTTATTCTATATTTAAATACATTGAACTGTTGTTCACATTTAGTGCAATATCAAGATAACAGGAAGTTAACAGGGATCTTTCTTCTCTTTAACATGAAAAAGAAACACCAATTATAGGACACAATGCACTGACGATATGATATAACGGTCAACTGTGCTACTCCTCAAACATAACAATGTAGATAAACAGCATTTTAACAACAAATATGTGATATGTGGTCTGCAGAGAGAGTCATTGGTGCCCTGAAGAGCCGGTACCACATTCTGGATGGCCCACTTCCTCTGCGCCTGGTAAAGAGACTGCAGGATGAGAGACAGAAGAGAGAAGAGGCCATGATTGATAGAATTGTGCATGTCTGTGCAGCACTAATGAACTTGTCTGGCAGTGTCATGTACAACCGTTACAGAATCTGAGAGTAAGAACAAAATCAATGTGCAGTCATTTAATAATGAGCATCAGAGAACAATATTTTGTGCAACTTTTTTATACAATAAAGAAGTCATTATTGTTCCAATTGTGCCATTTAGCAGGTTTCAGTTGAGACATAATGGATCTTTCTATTGGTCCATTTAGCAGGTTTCAGTTGAGACATAATGGATCTTTCTATTGGTCCATTTAGCAGGTTTCAGTTGAGACATAATGGATCTTTCTATTGGTCCATTTAGCAGGTTTCAGTTGAGACATAATGGATCTTTCTATTGGTCCATTTAGCAGGTTTCAGTTGAGACATAATGGATCTTTCTAATCAAAACCACCTGTTCGTCTTTCCACAGGTCCCTGAACTTATCTCAGTGCTGCTCTGCTGCTGCACACCCGGTCACCCTGCCTCTGATGCCTGACACCCTGCCTCTGATGCCTGACACCCTGCCTCTCATGCCTGACACCCTGCCTCTAATGCCTGACGCTCTGCCTCTGATGCCTGACGCCCTGCCTCTGATGCCTGACACCCTGCCTCTGATGCCTGACACCCTGCCTCTGTCGCCTGACACCCTGCCTCTGATGCCTGACACCCTGCCTCTGATGCCTGACACTCTGCCTCTGATGCCTGTCACTCTGCCTCTGATGCCTGTCACTCTGCCTCTGATGCCTGTCACTCTGCCTCTGATGCCTGTCACTCTGCCTCTGATGCCTGACACTCTGCCTCTGATGCCTGTCACCCTGCCTCTGATGCCTGTCACCCTGCCTCTGATGCCTGTCACCCTGCCTCTGATGCCTGACACCCTGCCTCTGATGCCTGTCACTCTGCCTCTGATGCCTGTCACTCTGCCTCTGATGCCTGACACCCTGCCTCTGATGCCTGACCCTCTGCCTCTGATGCCTGTCACCCTGCCTCTGTTGCCTGTCACCCTGCCTCTGATGCCTGACGCTCTGCCTCTGATGCCTGTCACCCTGCCTCTGATGCCTGACCCTCTGCCTCTGATGCCTGTCACCCTGCCTCTGTTGCCTGTCACCCTGCCTCTGATGCCTGACACCCTGCCTCTGATGCCTGACACCCTGCCTCTGATGCCTGACGCTCTGCCTCTGATGCCTGTCACTCTGCCTCTGATGCCTGTCACTCTGCCTCTGATGCCTGTCACCCTGCCTCTGATGCCTGACCCTCTGCCTCTGATGCCTGTCACTCTGCCTCTGATGCCTGACACCCTGCCTCTGATGCCTGACGCTCTGCCTCTGATGCCTGTCACTCTGCCTCTGATGCCTGTCACTCTGCCTCTGATGCCTGACACCCTGCCTCTGATGCCTGACCCTCTGCCTCTGATGCCTGATGCTCTGCCTCTGATGCCTGTCACCCTGCCTCTGATGCCTGTCACCCTGCCGCTGATGCCTGACACCCTGCCTCTGATGCCTGACGCTCTGCCTCTGATGCCTGACACTCTGCCTCTGTTGCCTGTCACCCTGCCTCTGATGCCTGACACCCTGCCTCTGATGCCTGACGCTCTGCCTCTGATGCCTGTCACTCTGCCTCTGATGCCTGTCACTCTGCCTCTGATGCCTGTCACTCTGCCTCTGATGCCTGTCACTCTGCCTCTGATGCCTGACACCCTGCCTCTGATGCCTGACGCTCTGCCTCTGATGCCTGACACTCTGCCTCTGATGCCTGTCACCCTGCCTCTGATGCCTGACACCCTGCCTCTGATGCCTGACGCTCTGCCTCTGATGCCTGTCACTCTGCCTCTGATGCCTGTCACTCTGCCTCTGATGCCTGTCACTCTGCCTCTGATGCCTGTCACCCTGCCTCTGATGCCTGACGCTCTGCCTCTGATGCCTGTCACTCTGCCTCTGATGCCTGTCACCCTGCCTCTGATGCCTGACACCCTGCCTCTGATGCCTGACGCTCTGCCTCTGATGCCTGTCACTCTGCCTCTGATGCCTGTCACTCTGCCTCTGATGCCTGTCACCCTGCCTCTGATGCCTGACCCTCTGCCTCTGATGCCTGACACCCTGCCTCTGATGCCTGACGCTCTGCCTCTGATGCCTGTCACTCTGCCTCTGATGCCTGTCACTCTGCCTCTGATGCCTGTCACTCTGCCTCTGATGCCTGACGCTCTGCCTCTGATGCCTGACACCCTGCCTCTGATGCCTGTCACCCTGCCTCTGATATCTGTCACCCTGCCTCTGATGCCTGACACCCTGCCTCTGATGCCTGTCACCCTGCCTCTGATGCCTGTCACTCTGCCTCTGATGCCTGTCACCCTGCCTCTGATGCCTGACACTCTGCCTCTGATGCCTGACACCCTGCCTCTGATACCTGACACCCTGCCTCTGATGCCTGACACCCTGCCTCTGATGCCTGACACCCTGCCTCTGATGCCTGTCACCCTGCCTCTGATGCCTGACGCTCTGCCTCTGATGCCTGACACTCTGCCTCTGATGCCTGTCACCCTGCCTCTGATGCCTGACGCTTTGCCTCTGATGCCTGACACCCTGCCTCTGTTGCCTGTCACCCTGCCTCTGATGCCTGACACCCTGCCTCTGATGCCTGTCACCCTGCCTCTGATGCCTGACGCTCTGCCTCTGATGCCTGTCACCCTCCCTCTGATGCCTGTCACCCTCCCTCTGATGCCTGTCACCCTGCCTCTGATGCCTGACGCTCTGCTGCCACTTGTGTTGCCTGATGGGTCGCTCCCTGTGCTGCTTTCGACTGGATTGTGTTCTGCCTACTTAGCAGAAACATATACAGTGCTTATCATAAATGAGTACACCCACTTTGAAAAGAACACAAGAACAATTTGATCAACAATATCAACAATTATTATCTGATTAGTATCAAAGTCACAAGTATAGACAATATTGTACAGCCCATTATTCATTCTATTTGTAGCCTATGTATGTTTTCATGTTGTAAATAAATGTATAGGCTTTGTGTTATTTGATTTTGTACATGTAGTCTACAGTATGTTGATACTGAATGAAATAGCTATAATATGCTTCAAAATGAATTGGTATAAATACATATGTAACTCTGTCACAGTGACTTATTTGTTGCCATTTTTACACTGATAGGAAATTCAACCACCTACCTGTGCATCTTTCAGCTCCCGAAGTTTGTGTAGTATGTGTTGTGACCAAAATGTTTGCATCACATTAATGGCACCACTGATGAAGTCCTCATCTCTTTGTACTCTGAATATCAGGCAGGTCTGAGGAGTCCAAGTGATGAAGTCTGCATACATCAGTTTGGTAACAAACATCTGCTTTTGGACCTGTCAAATGCAATGCAATCATCATAACACTAATATTTACATTATAGACAGTATGCCATCTGTGGATAATTATCTTGGATAATTGCACAAAATGCTGCAGACTTATTAGAGGTGTGCAGGTATATGCAGGTGAAATATTGAAATACCTGAGTGAAATATGCATGACTTCTCTTTAAGCTCGTCAGACTTTCCAGATGTCCTCTTTTGTCCTCAAGCCACTGTTGGTACCCAGTAGAGGTGTCTTGCCCCCACCTGTAAGGACACTTAGCCTCTATAATACCCTCACCACAGCAGTCACAGGAAACATAGCCATCACATGAAACCCCCAGGTATGGCATAGTTTGGCAGATGCGGAAGCCAGCCTTTCTGACGACCAGGTTCTGATGTGGTGCATCTACTGGGGCACAGATGTAAATGGTGGAAGACAGGTTGGCTGTGGGGCTCCCAGCTCCAAGAGCATATTGATAAGTGTCAATGACATCTTGCTCATGGTGTCTCCCCCACTGAATCCAGGGCTTCATTATTGGCCTGTGCCTTTGTTCACATATGGTGTTGATCAGTGACTTGCTAGGATGTTCTGTAGCTGTTAAGACATGGTGGGCTATGGAGCCTGGAATGCGACCAACCCGCTCTTGATGCCATTGCACACAGGATGCCTGACGGATGGTTGCTCTCTCCACATTTTCGATCTCCTCCTCAGTCACCTCATGCTGGCTGAAACACCATGGCTTCTTAAAAGGCCTGAAAAAACCCATGAAACTATTTAATACCACAGAGTCAGGTGATCTGTCAGCCAGCATAGTGAGGAACTGCTGCTGCTGTGATAAAGAGGCGTTTGGGGTAGGGGCTTTCCTTTTCCTTTTTTTTGACGTCTTGTCCTCTGTGTAAAAAGTTGTCTCTGCAACAAGAGCAGGCTCAATCTTTTTAACACACGTCTTGTTCCACTCACAGGCTTTGCTTGTGCATGGCACTTTGTTGATCCCCATGCGGACACAAGCCTCTAATTAAAAAAGAACAGCAACCACATGGGAACAACTTTCACCAAGACTGAAAAGGAAGGAAAAAAATATCCATTAGCTCTAGATCACTAAAGATATTGGGCCTAAGATTTTACATAATACTGCCCTGTCTGGTGACGTTTCTTTTGGAACATTTTGATATATTCGGACGTATTTATGGCACCCACGCACAAACAAATGAACGCTTTCACAAACGTACCCTGCCATGCAGTTGCAGTGGGCAGCGACGATGGTACCCTCTCCCTTAACTGCTACCCACGTCTGGTGCGGCTTCTCTGTCACCCTCCAGGATGGCTTTACATCACATCGGAACAGGTATAGGTATCCGATGAAGGTAGTTTATGATGGAGCACAACTCCAACAAAGCCACTTGTAAAAAAGTTGTGTGCCTCCAGGGACCGATAGTTCTTTAGGCTGCTGTGTGTGTAAATCCAACACATCCTCACTCCCAGGTCGGCCTATGTTGACGTTATGTCAAGTCCCCTGTCGGCTTTTTCCAACGCAAGGGGGGGGGGCCTTAGCGTCCATTTTCAACGCAAGGGGGGGGCCCTTAGCGTCCATTTTCAGCTTTCCGGGATGTCCATATGCTTCTATGGACGCTCATGGAAGCACGGCGTTCGTTTGTGTCGACCGCCCTTAAAGGCAATGTGAGCGTCCATTCTCATTGGATAACGGAGAATTGTACACCCGGAAGTAAGTATTCCCCTTACTGTCGATTGATTTTACAGTGATATCTGCACTACTCATCGACTAAAAAAAAACAGATTATCCTTGTTAATTACACAACATTGATTGGTTTAAATTGTGTGCAATGCTTTTGTATTTTTCCCCTTCGATTCGGAGAAACAAATATTTTTTCGGAGTAAATGATGACAGAAGACACTACACTACCCAGAATCCCCAGCTATCGTTTGGACTACACCATGTGCTCTGTTTGACAAACCCCGTGATAGTCCTCAAGCTCTCTGATTGGAGAGTGTGCTCCGAGGGTTACGCCGAGCCTCGAACAGCACTTGAAATGGGATGGAACCACAGCAGACTGTCCAAAACTGGATTTGAACGGGTCCACCGCGTCCCCCCCTCCCCCATCCCGTCCCCAGAACTACACATGCTGGCTATTCTGTTTCGCAACATGTTCTCTATCTATGGCACGTCTCTACTGGGAGTTGTAGTTTTAAAATACGTTTTCGTATTTCCCATAATAAGAAGTTGCCAGTATTAAACTGTGTACATCCCTGGAGGTTTAGGGGATAGGAAACACTCACATTTAAAACATATAATTAATAAATGGGTGAAAATTGCTTGTGCCCATAATGGGCAGCATTAATATATATACACACATGCCAGCTAAGGTCAGAAGAGCTTTATTTAACAGCTGGTCTTATGTTTGTGACCCCTGTTGTTAATTGATTACATTACATTACATTACATTAATTGAAAAGCCTGAAACATGCACTTGTCAAGGTTCAGAGGCACATTTTGCAAATATGGCAGTAGCCATCGATCAGCTTAAGATAAGATATACTTTATTGATCCCAAGTTGGAACATTTGCGTTACATCAGCATGTGTAACAGTTAAATATGCAGTGGTGTTTATTTGTAAATCATTTAGTATAATCACACAAATTCTGTGTTTTATATTCAACAATTCTGTGTTCTTTATTTATTGATTGTTCAATACCGGACAAGGCCGGAGATGAAATATCTACATACATCTTATAAGAGTATAATACATTATGTATAATATCAGTTAAAATAAGTGCTTCAACATAGTTAACATTGCTGGAGGTATGCACAAATATTGATAGATGTCTTGTAATGCACTATTGAGGAACCTGCGACCCAAGTTTTTCATTCAATGCAGAACTACACCATAGTTGTGTAGGCCTATATGATATGTCAATAAACCTTAGAAAATCTTGAAATCTTAAAGGGATGTGCAAAATAGTCATTATATACAGTCTTTAATTAACTATTAGTAGAGAATAAGGAGTAATGAATATACTTTATAGGGATCCTATTAATATCTAATAATAAAAATAATGAAATTCAATAACATGCTTTAACCACTAGGTGTCCCTTTATATCAGCTGTGCACCTTTGTGGTGTAAATACAGCCTATCTACCAATTGGATCAAATATAAAAGTCAGCCGAATTAGTGTTGATATTGCAAGGAGACGTATTGTGTGAAAATAAATGTAAGATGTTGTTTAATGGCTGATATATTTATGATCCACGTCACGTTTTCAGTTCCTCATGTTTGTCGAGAAGTCTATTCATCAGGGCTCTATAAATACAGAACTACGGCAGATATGTACTATTTAATGCAGCCGAACCGTGTATTACAACGCCGGTATGTGATGACTTTCAAAGAGAAAAGCAAGCACACTCGGAATAAAGTATATATATATATTTTTAAAAATGTTTTCGGTCTGTTTCCGGTATTTGTTAATGACGATGTGCTCTGAGATGTGAGACTGGAATTGCACAGGGGAAAATAACGTAGGCTATCTTTAGATGCGGATTTTGTTAAACTAATATGTTTTCGCTGTGGACCAACACTATACATTGATGGGGAAGGGGGTAGCAATAAAGATAACACCATTAAACAGTTACACAACATAACAGAAATAATATCGATAGCAGCTTCCCTAGCAACCACCTTGGTAACAATGAAAACGTTATGGACGCAATTTCCTGAAGTAATCTTCGTAATAACTAGCAAACTAAAGATCATGTACATCCACTGCACACATAATCTGAAATAACAACTCATATTTCTCGCATCAAATGACATCAAAACGCATTTTAATGGCCAAACTAACTTTAAAATAGGCATTTTCCATCGAGAATAAAACGAAGTTCGGCCAGGTTTTTTTTTCTGCGGGGAGAAATGTGAAGATCACGTGACGTCAAACAGAGCACATGGTGTAGTCCAAACGATACCTGGGGATTCTGGGTAGTGTAGTGTCTTCTGCCATCCTTTACTCCGAAAAAATATTTGTTTCTCCGAATCGAAGGGGAAAAATACAAAAGCATTGCACACAATTTAAACCAATCAATGTTGTGTAATTAACAAGGAGAATCTGTTTTTTTTAGTCGATGAGTAGTGCAGATATCACTGTAAAATTAATCGACAGTAAGGGGAATACTTACTTCCGGGTGTACAATTCTCCGTTATCCAATGAGAATGGACGCTCACATTGCCTTTAAGGGCAGCCGACACAAACGAATGCCGTGCTTCCATGAGCGTCCATAGAAGCATATGGACATCCCGGAAAGCTGAAAATGGACGCTAAGGGCCCCCCCCCTGCGTTGAAAATGTACGCTAAGGCCCCCCCTTGCGTTGGAAAAAGCCGACAGGGAACTTGACATAACGTCAACATAGGCCGACCTGGGAGTGAGGATGTGTTGGTAAATCCCTGCGTGATAACGTACTGAGTCGTCAATAACCAATATGTATATGCAGCTCATGATGGCTATTGTGCAAAAACAACCATTGTGTGATGAACAAATTCACTAAAACGTGCTAATTTCCTTGTCAGACATATCAATTATGTGAGGTTTAATTCATCAGTTAAAGGGATTTTGCCTTTTACCGGGTGATTCAACCAGGTAGCAGAAGATATCAGGGAATGAAACTTCAGGCCATTCAGTCGGATCATTCGTCCACTCTTTAATAAGATATGGACAAGAATCCGATCCTATTAAATACATTTTTTAAAGGTATCTATCCCTGTCAATGGGCTGCAATGAATCAATGTACGACATGTTTGTTTAACATTTAAAATCCGCGCGCTGACAGTGCTCCGAGCGAGGGGGAAAGGATTGTTTTCCCCCTCGAAATTCCCCGCCCCCAACTGTGACGCGACGCCGACTGTATGTAATACAGATATTTGATTTGTGTACTGCAACCTGTTTAGCTTAATGATGTTTATTTATTTTCCCTTTATGATTATTTTCTGTTTGTTATATAAGTTATACGTTTTTTTTGGAAAGAGTGGTTTTATGATTGATCCAGTAGTAGGTGTTAAGGCAACGTCCGGATGCCAATCGTTCTTAAAACCAAAAAGAAGAAATCCTTCCCGCTTTTATTTTGACGTCATCAAACCGCACCGGAAGTGAAGTTCCCAGCTCTTTCTAACCTGGATCGAGGTGGCGTCTCGTCGCTACGGTTCTCTCTCTCTGTGTTCCTGAGAAAGTGTGTGTGAGCTCCAGCACTACTGATCCATCATCTGTGTGTTTGGATAAACCTCTGAATGGACTCTGTGCTCTTTTTTCTGGAGCGTTTACCTCGGACTACATGAGCTAGCTTAGCATGCTAGCTGGAAACACGTTAGCAACACTAGTCAGATTGAGAGTTTGATGGAGAGAGACACGGTGTGTTTAACAGAGTTTGCAGGAAAAGGTGATCTAGTAAACATGAGTAAAGTCCAAATGCTGCTGTCGTTGAAGAAGCAGCGACTCACTGTTGCTGTTGAAGATATATTTGCTCTGTTTGAAAAAACGATGGCAGAGCACGAGGAGGAGCTGTCTCTTTCCAAAGAGGAGATCAAGAGACTCCAGAAACTACTGGACGCTGCGTTACAGCCTGAGCTTCGGATACACAGAGCAGGTCTGTTCCCTTTACCCTTCATTAACACTTTAAATCTTCAGTAGCACTTTATTATCACATTAATAACTCTTTAGACCCTTTATCAGCACTTGCTGCAGGTAGTAGATCCTGAAGTAAAAGTACAAACACCACACTGTGAAAATACTCCATTACAAGTTAAAGTACTGCATTCACATCTTATTTAAGTAAAAGTATGTAAGTATTATTAGACACATGTACTTTATTATAATAATTAAAATGTATTGGGGAAGAGCAAACCTACCAAAACAAATATATTTATAAAAATACATACATTGAATAATATGCCATTTAATTTACTGATTTAAATATTACCCATACATGTAGGCACTAGTTGGTTAAATGTGACATACTTGATACTTTAGTTTTATTGTGCTTCTTTATTCACCTTTTCTTTTTAAATGTGTAAAAACAAATACAAACAAATACTTTTAGTGGGGTGGGTAGAAGGGGGTATCATGCACCCCCCTGAAATATACTTTTAATCAGCTTTTCTAGATTGAAACAAATTGTGTAGAAAACGATTAGCTATGTTAAAAAGTTGAAAAATTGTCCCACGTATATTTTTTCACCAAATTAGTGTTTATTTACCCTAAAAATCGAGTTTCACTATTTTTACACCTTTCACTATATCTCAGCCATTATTGCAGATAACTGAACAAATAAGGTATCCAGATCCATGTTTTGAGGGTCCTGGAACACAATAAAACTATTCTTAAAGTGATCACATGTGTCTGTGGCATGCTATTATGCTAATTAGTGCCGCCATTACAAGAAAATAGCATTTTAGTCTTGTACCAAGAACGATGTATTTTGCACCGACACAGAAATATTCTTATAATCAGTGTTTCCTAAGTGGAAAAAGTATGTAGAAAATGATGAGCTATGTTAAAATGTTGTCTGGATGTCCCACATGTATTTTTTATGCAAATTAGTGTCACAATTGCCAAAAACGAAATTTTCACACTTTTCACTCTATCTCAGCCAATATTGCAGATACATGAACAAATAATGTGTCTAGACCAGTGGTTCCCAAACGGTGTGCCGCGGCACACTGGTGTGCCGTGAGGCAAGTACGGGTGTGCCGTGGGATTTTGTGACAACCATACGTTATTATTGCAATATACAACTACACAAAAATAATTATTTAATTTACTATATCAGTACTTTGTAGGTTTATATGTACGTAATCTGCGCGACTTGCGCGTCCACATCTCCACGTGCAGTGCTGCATAAACATGGCTGAGTCAGCGATAACTTTCGAGGGGTGGAGGTATGCCCATTATTTTGAGTTCGTCCGAAGAATAGACAGAAATGTGACGGTGAGGTGCAAACTGTGTCCAGGCCAGAAGCTGTTATCCACTGCTGTAAACACCACGTCAAACCTCAACACACACCTGCAAAGAACACATGCTAAGGTGAAGCTACCGCACACGCTATTTGTTGTTTGTTTATATCACGTAGTCTGTTCTTCTTCTCTGTCTTCTGGTTGTTGCCTGGTTTGAATGACAAATACACACTACCGCCGCCTGCTGGTAAGGAAAGTTATTGCCACTCACGCATGCGCAGTTCGTACGTGCTCGGCGAGTAAAGTAACGAGTTACTTTATGTAGATAGTAACAAAGTAGTGTAATATATTACTTTTTTTTAAAGTAATATGTAATATATTACTTTTTTTAGTAACGACCCCATCTCTGGAGTTGGCGTTCTCTACTCTGATTTACATGAAGAACAACAGGAGGTCACGGCTCTCTGTTGAACAGGACTTGCGAGTGGCCCTCTCCTCAGTGCCACCAAGGATTACAAAATTCTGCGCGCCCCGACAGGCACATGTATCTCACTAATTTGTAAGTCGGCAAAAATATTTACAATAACACATGTTTCAATGCTGATTGCTGAAATGTTACATTTATAATTTGTAGTTCAGGACCATGCAGTGCAGCTTCCTTGCATTGACAGTTCTCTGTGCTGAATTTCTGCTGAGTTTCCTTTGCCTCATTTTTAGGGCCCGAGCACGAAAGTGCTAGGACCCAACGGCGTCCTAGCACGAAGTGCAAGGATACCTATTGTTATTCGTGGTATTATTATTATTATTCCATATTTCAATGCTTATTTTCAGGCCTTTAGGATGCTGAGAAAGTTGTATAATTTTGCACAGATTCCAGAATCGGTGAAAAATTTGATATTCTGGAGTCAATGTGTTCAAATTGTCCAACATGCTCTCTAGCGCCACCTATGGCCATTTCCGTTTTTGGAAAGATGTACAAAGTTTCACCGTAACTCCAAATGACCTGAAATTTTTCACACTTACTCGGGTGGACCTGCTCTACATATAAGGTCCAGGTACCCGTAAGCTCCGCCTACTTTATTTTTTTTTAAATTAGCATTATTTGAAAAACAGTTAAATATTCACTTAAATTTCAAATTTTTGTTTTTCAACACCAAACTCAGTATACAGTATCGCCGGAGGGTCAGACACATTATCGTAGGAAATGAACATGTTCAGTTGATAAATGTGGTCGTCATTACTCTAAATGTCTTCGCAAAAAGGCGGGGCTTAGATAGAAATGCTCATAACTCATCAACAATGTACCAAAAAACACACATTTTGGTGGTAAGGTTCAGTCTGTATTGGGGAAGAAGCACAAAAAGTAATTTCCATTTTGGACTATAGGGGGCGCCAAAAACATGACAAATGTCTAACTCATGAACTGATGGACGAAATATTTTTCTTTTTTTGTAGACATACTCTGGGGATGAGTATGGACTTATATTTAAAGTGTCACAACGAATGACAAATGTGGGCGTGGCCTGTACTTTTTTTTTTATGACGATGAGCTAAAATGGTTTTCGTTACGCAAAAATTGGTACACGAGTCACAGCCCACGACCTTTTCCATAATGTAAAAAAAAAACGTACATTTTCAAAAAAACTGCTCTCTAGCGCCCCCTATTGTGTGGTAGTCGCATATAGTTTCTCAGAACTTCACGAATGTTGGCACAGATATTCCTCATGGAATTGCGGACATATTTGTACATACATTCCATTAGCCCCGCCCCCCCAAAAAGTCGGCCATTTTGAAATATGTGCGTTTTTTATGCATTTTAAGCACATTCGTGCGGATTCCTCCTAGGGGAATGATCGGAAAAATTCCAATCCAGGACACGTTCAGCCCCTATCCAATATGATACTTAATGGAGAAGAACATTTTTGATAGCTCAATCGTGGAGGTCGTAAGCTAACAGCGAATACACCATTGTTGACGATTTACATGTCGCAAATTACTCCAAATTACTCGGATATAGTTAATCCGATATTCACGAAACGCTGTATACATATTGCTATTATGATTGCACACATATTTCAAATTACCTTCCATTAGCCCCGCCCCCCAGAAAGTCGGCCATCTTTTAAAATGTGCGGTTTTCAGCCATTTTACGCACGTTCTTGCGAACTCCTCCTAGGGGAATGATCGGAAAAAATCCAATCCAGGACAAGTTCAGCCCATTTCCAATGTGATGCTAAATTGCGAAGGAATAGTTGATCGTTCAAACGACGACTTCGTAAGCGAACGGAGAACTTTCCATTTTTGACGATTTACATGTCCCAAATTACTCCAAATACTCGCGTATACTTTTTCCAATATTCAGGAAACGCTGTATACATATTACTATTATGATTGCACACATATTTCAAATTGCCTTCCATTAGCCCCGCCCCCCCAGAAAGTCGGCCATTTTGAAAAATGTGCGTTTTTCAGCCATTTTACGCACGTTCTTGCAAACTCCTCCTAGGGGAATGATCAGAAAAATTCCAATGCAGGACAGGTTTAGCCCCTATCCAATAGAATACTTAATTCAGGAGCACATTTTTGAAAAATTACTCGTGGAGGTCGTAGGCTAACAGCGAATACACCATTTTTGACTATTCACATGGCGCAAATTGCTCCAAACTGGTCGCATATAGTTTTTCCGATATTCACGAAACGCTGTATACATATTGCTATTATGATTGCACACATATTTCAAATTGCCTTCCATTAGCCCCGCCCACCAGAAAGTCGGCCATTTTGAAAATTGCCCGTTTTTCATGCATTTTAAGGACATTTCTGTAAACTCCTCCTAGGGGAATGATCGGAAAAATTCCAATCCAGGACAACTTCAGCGCATATCCAATGTCATGCTACATTGAGAAGGAATAGTCTTTCGCTCAAACGGGGAGCTCGTAGGCTAACGGAGAATGTACCATTTTTGACCCATTATATGTCAGATAAGCTACTGAGCCCTGCCTGTCTGCCTGGCACATCAACTCTCACACACACACACACACACACACACACACACACACACACACCCTCGCTAACCCTAACCCTAACCCTAACCCTAACCCTAACCCTAACCCTAACCCTAATGTTTATTTGTAGATATCTCCTAAAGCCTACAAATAAAGTGTGACATGTAGGCCTGTTACATTTGTTATTGAGCGATATATATTATACACACTGTTCTGCTTTCTGCACTGACCTCAGCAGCTGTTCTCACTGTAACATCACCTAACATCCAGGGCACATGTGATTAGTGAGTAAACAAACGGTAAAGGGCAGAAAGTCTGATGCACATTTGATCATCTCAAATAACTTATAATCACAACGGGAACACTTTGCAGAGCTGTGCTTCGTTTGACAGAAGTCCAGACATGCGTCACGCCTCTTTTAAACATCACTGTTGGCTGAAATCGTCTCAGGAGAATACTTCAGTGTACCCTCGGTTATAGCTCCTCCAGAGACACTCCTCTCTCCTCTAAATCAGTGCATCCTCGGTTACGGCTCCTCCAGACAGCCTCCTCGATAATCGATCCTCGACGACCATTTAGAGAAATTTGTTTTCCTTCGACATCCGTTTCCGGGTCGCTGCCGTGAGCACCTGGAAGTCTGGGACGCGAAAATTAGAGAAATGACAAACGGCTCATTTCCCAGGACTCGC